CTGTTATTTTCGGCCTCCGGGGGGCCCTTGGGACCGTCAAGGGGCGACTCAGGATAAAAAGAACGGTCCAGGGGAATGGGTCGAGACCCCCAGGGGCCGATGGAATGACAACAAATCATGACGTCGGGGGTCTGGGAACGTGCCCCGTGCGCCCCGCGGGCGCCCGCGGGGCGCGCTGCGCGCTGAGCTGACCCTTACCCGCTTGGTCCTGCCGGTTTCCGATTTGCTCGCAGGGGGAAACGTCCTCCTCTGTCGCTCACACGTCGTACTGGTTAATTCGCGCGTCGCTCTGGGTTTTCTTCCTGGCACCCGCTCTGGACCGAGTGACGCGTGCATGACCTCCGCGCCAAAGAGTCGTCTGTTGCGCGGCCGTCCTTGGAGACCTGCGGTCAAGACGCTAGAGCTGGTAGAATCTCGTATGCGATTTCTCGCCCCCACTCCCAGCGTCCCTCCTAGAGAAGCTGGCTGCTCAGAAGGCATTGGAGACTCGGGGACGACACCTCCGCGGTGCTACTCGGACGCACCCCTGTCGAAGGGTGGACCCCCCCCGTCGTGCATCTTGCCACCGCCGAGAAAGCTGCACAGATTTGGGGATCTGCGCCGCCAGACCTTCCGAAGCGGAGGAGCTCTTGTGTTCTCGGGCCGTCCCCGACGTCCAGGTCGGGGACTCTGTTTGTGGCCGAGGCTCGCCGTGACCAGGAAGGAACGGCCCTTCGTGTCTGCTGCGACCACAGTCGTATTGGGCCTTGTTGTATTGCGCCCCGGGAGGCGCCACAGTCGCATTGGGCCTTGTTGCCCAGACCCCCGACGTCGTATTGTAGCGGCCTTCGGCCAGTGCCGCCGATCTGGGTCGCTTGGGGTGCCCCCCCCCGGACTGGGCGGCGACACTTCGCCGACAGACACGCACGAGCACGCTCGCAGACATTGCGCGCACACGCGCGCACACACACACACACATTCACACGCACACGCAAACGCACACACATGCACACACACAACACACAACACACAACACACAAAACACACAACACACAACACACAGCACACACACACACAACACACACAACACACACAACACGCACAACACACACGCACAAACACACGCGCCGCGCGCACACGCGCGCACACACACACACACACCCAAGCACCCAAACACCCATACACCCACACACCCACACACCCACACACCAACACACCCACGCACGCACGCACGCACACGCACACGCACACACACGCACACACACACACACACACGCGCACGCACGCACATGCACACACATTCACACACACACACGCACACACACACACACGCACACACGCACACACGCACACACGCACGCAGACACACACGCACACGCACACACACACACATACGCACGTACGCACACACGCGCACGCACGCACACGCGCGCGCGCATGCACACACACACACACACACACTATCCAGAGTCCCGACGTCGTACTTTCTCCCCGCGTGGGTCCTCGAAGGCCTCGACCCCTTCCCCTGGGACCGGCGTCTCCTCTTGAGTCGTTTCTTGACGGCCCCCAGGGCCTGGTGTGCGGGCCCTCGCCCCCGAGGCCGGCAGCTGCGACCACTTCCCGCCGCGATGCTTCCACGACGCGAGGATCGGCGGCGAGCGAGGGGGCGATGCGAGAAGAAAAGGCCTTCTCATGGGGCGGCGGGGCTTCTCAGAAACCCTCGCGCCTCCTGAGAAGTTGTTCTTGTTTTCGGGGAAGGCTCAGGAAATTAGTCGGGGAGCCGGGGGACTTCTGAGCCTTCTGAGCAGTCCCGCCCCTTCTCCGTTCACCCCCTCGTTCGCCGCCGAAAGGAGGCGCGGTCTCCGGGTCATGACATCGGGTCTCCAGCAGCTGGTCGGGGCGATCTGGGCCATCCGGGACGCCTCAGGACCAGGCGCAGCTGCAAGAAGGCAGCCCAGCGCCCGGCAAAATCACCCAAAACCATTCCCAAACCTTCGAAAATATCATTGTCCGCCCTCCGACCACTTGCGGGTCCAGTCAGCAGGGGTTCTTGGTTGCAGGCGTGCGTCAAGGTCCGCACCCCCGCGGGGGCTCCAGGAGTCTGACCTGCAGGGGTAGGCCTCCCCAGGGCTCGCGTGCGTGGCGCAGCGAAGCGGGGTCGTCAGCACCGTCATTGGCGCGGAGGCACCGAAACTCGTGCGTGGGCGCCCTCGTTGCTAGTGCAGCGTGCCACGCCGGCGGCCCGCGTCAGCCGCGGCGAAAGGTCGCTATGTCGTCTTGTGTCAGACCCGTGCTTCCGCGTCGATTACTCCGGGTGGGATATGAATTGAGGGGTGGGCGACTAACCTTACGACGGGGCTTGCCCATCCCCCGCCCTCTCCTCCCCCTCCTCCTCCTCCTCCTCCAGCCCCCCCTTCCACCCGTTCCGACAGCACGTCCCCCCCCCCCCCAGCGGATCCAAGGGAAGGGGCTGGGACGGCGGTGGGGAGGAACCAGAACGGAGAGGAGGCGGAGGAGGAGGAGGAGGAGGAGGAGGAGGAGGAGTATGAGTATGAGTATGAACCAGTAGCGAAGCTAGTACCACCACCTATGACTAATGCAGCCCCCTCTGGACCTTCTCGGCCTTGCTGAGGACCTTGGGGGGCAGATTATGAACATCCTATCCAGATATTCTTTACCTGTGGGGGTTAAACGGTGTGCGCATGGCTTGCCCAACGACCGCAGCTGCTTATCAGCTATGGCCCCACACCTCCCGCAGAACCAGGTTTTCAAATTCACATGCACATTGAGGTAGTGAGAGGAGTGTAGCCAGCCCCCAGCCACATGCACGCGTGAGCCGACAGACGGGGAAAATATTACACCGTCAACGTTGACCAGGCTCGGGCACGGCGAACTCCAAAACTCTTTGAGGGTCGCCTGGCTAGCCGATCCGTGGCATTTCAAACACCGTCTTTTGTCGTCCGACAGCACGTGTTGAGACAAGAGGGAGGTGAGAGCAGCAGCAGCAGGCGGGGTAGGGGCCAAGGGCGGGGGAGGCACCCCCGTCGATCTCCTCTCCGACTCCAGCTGCTTGTCCCGAGCGAAACAGTCAAGTGTGGCACGAAGCAAACGAAGGCGCACCAAACGTGCCCTTCTTTCGTGCAGTTGAACACGGTACCTGTCGGCCTCGGGCACGCGGTGCTGCCGTGCTGCCACACCCGCCAATTCATCGGCCACCAGGTTACCGAGCACCATATGACGTGAAACTCTGCCCTCCACGATGTCTGCAGGGCCACAGTGAATTCGTGAACAAAACTGAAAGGTGATCGTGGCATCGGTGCTGGAGCAAACGGCCTGTCTCATCCCACAGGTCAGCATCCTCACCTGCGGAATACTTATGTAGTTGTTGATACCAGCCGAGAGCTACATAGTCACAATCAGTAATATAACACAGCCAATCTTGGGACATCCGCACGGCGAGCAGGAAACCTTGGAGCTCTCCTCGGGCAACCACTTGCCTTCTTCCTACCAAAGGGCCATAAACACAAGCATCCATCTGGACAGACGGCACAAGCCGGGAGCAGAGGGCAATGGCCACCCCCACTCTGCGCATTCTAGAGTCGCTGGACTCGTCCTCCCGAGGCGTCCCCGTGCACCAGGAGGAGGCGGAGGCGGAGGCGGAGGCGGAGGAGGAGGAGGAGGAGGAGGAGGAAGAGGAGGAGGAGGAGGAGGAGGAGGAGGAAGAAGACGAATACGCAGAATAAGACGAATAAAAACAATCATACTACTACGAAGAGTAAGAAGAATCAGCAGACTAATAAGAATATTCATACGAACAAGAATAGTAACAATAAGAATCCTAATACTAAGGTGACTACTATTAATAATAAGACAGAGAAGAATACGAATACTTAAAACAACACTACTGATAGGAATAATAATAAGACCAATACGCAGACGACGACTACTAGTACTATTATTAAGAATACGAATAATACTACTACTACGAAGACTAAGACGACGCCGCACAATACGAACACGACCACTACTAAGACGAATGCGACTAATACTAATAATAATTCTAATAATCATGATAATGATATGATGAATAACAATAATACTAATAATAATACTAATAATAATCATAATAAAAGACTAATACGATGACTCATATGACTAATACTAATCGTACGACTACTAATAATACTACTGCTACTAATACTAGTAATAATAATGATGATAATAATAATAAAATAATAATAATACTAATAATAATAGTATTAATAACAATAGTACTCATAATAATACGAATAAGAATAATACTACGAATGCTAAGATTAATCCGACTAATAATAAGACTAATACGAATAGTAGTAGTAATAATAATAAGAAGACGACGAGGAGGAGGATGCGGAGAAGGAGGAGGAGGAGGGGAGGAGGAAGCGGAGGAGGAGGAGGAGGAGGAGGAGGAGGAGGAGGATACTTGGGATGACGAGTTGGAGTAAGGAGTAGGAGTATCAGTCGGAGTAGGAGAAGGAGGGAGGATGAGGAGGAGGAGGATAGAGGAGGAGGAGATGAGGAGGAGGATGGAAGAAACGGAGTTGAAGGAAAAAAGGAGGAGGAGGAGGAGGGAAGGATGGGGAGGGAAGGGAGGATGGGGAGGGGAGGGAGGATGGGGAGAGGAGGAGGGGAGGGGAGGAGGAGCGGAGGAGGAGCGGAGGAGGAGGAGGAGGAGGAGGAGGAGGAGGAGGAGGAGGAGGAGGAGGAGGAGGAGGAGGAAGAGGAGAAAGGGAGAGGGGACGGAGAAGAAAGAGGAGAGGAGGAGGACGAGGAGGAGAAGCGGGAGGAGGAAGATGAGGAGGAGGAGGAGGAGGAGGAGGAGGAGGAGGAGGAGAAGGAGAGGGGAAAGGAGGAGGAGAGAGGAGGAGGAGGAGGAGGAGGAGGAGGAGGAGGAGGAGGAGGAGGAGGAGAGGCGCTTATTGCCCCATCCAGATTGCGAGCGGTTGCCGAAACGCCGAGCGAGCCCCGAGGGGGCCG